TGTGGCGTGGTGTTGGAAAGCCAGACAATCTTGATGCTTTTTTAGCAGATTTTATTCATGAAGTTGATGAATTAGCCCTAAATGGTTATGACTTCTATGGCAACCGCTATTCCTTTAAAATTAGAAATTACAATACATACTTGATGCTGTAGCACGACAATATGTAAAATGTATTTCAAGCCACAACAGTATCTATGCATGTGAAAAGTGCACAGTAAAAGGTGCACGTTTTAGAAATCGTCTTACCTTTCTGAATCTCAATGCATCATTGCGTACGGATGAATCTTATCGAAGAAGAGATCAGCCTAGTCACCATAATGGAGTATCGCCTCTAGAAAATATGGCAAGTGACAACAGTGGAATGGTTTCAAAGTTTCGTTTAGATCCAATGCATCTGTTATTTGAAGGGGCTTTTAAGAGATGGGTTCTGTATCTTTGTGGATATCAAGCTATCACATATGGTAAAATTTCAAGACTAACACGTTTGAGCTTATGCTCTGATATAATTGACATTGCTTCTTGGATTCCCATGAAATTCAACCGTAGACCAAGATCTTTATATTATAAAGCCAAGTTTAAAGCAACTGAGTGGAGAGGTATTCTTCTGTATGATGGAGTGCGCATTTTTCGATACAGACTTCATGAAAACACTTACAAAAACTTTTTATTAATTCATTCTGCATCTTACATTCTCTCATCTCCTGAATTTGTCAAAAGCAATTATTGGATTTTTATTGCTGATAATATATATCGTGAGTTTATCAGGCATTCCACAGATATTTTTGATAAATCATATGTGGTATACAATATACATTGTCTTTGTCACATGGCTACTGAATGCCAGAAAAATGGTACGTTATTGGATTTCAGTGCTTTTAAATACGAGTCTTTTATGGCTGTAATTAAACATCACTTGCGTTTAACTGATAAGCCTCTCCAGCAGTTAGTTAATAGGGATTTTGAGACAAGAAGGCAACTTGCTGCATAGTCAAAGAGACCAAATCTGAATAAAGTTACATTAAAAAAACAATTGCATAGAAATATTGTTCCAGAAATTCCTGGTGATCGCTATGCACAAATATATTTAAAGGATATAACTCTTTCGACTAATAAAGCTAATTGCTGTTTCTCAACAAAAGATGGGAACATACTTATCTTAACCGAAGTTATAGCTTCACCAAATGGCGATATATTATTAGCAGGGCATAAGTTTCTTTGCAAAGTAGATTATTATGACTACCCATTTCCTTCCTCATTCATTGGAATTTTTAAAGTGTCACATATAGATTCTGTAAAAACCATATACAAACTGCAGGATTTTTTTCAAAAATGTGTTATTTTACCCGATGAAGATAGTTTTCTTTGCATTCCTCTCCTTCACAATGGTCCTCAGTAAATTTTTGGTGAGATCTTATTGGTCATTTATGTCATTACTTTATTTGTTTTTTTGATGTAAACTTCAAATTTATTTTTTTACAGTATTCTGTCATAGAGTTTGTGCCTCAAGCTGAAAGTGATGAAGAAGAAATCCTTGTAGAAGTTGTACCAACCAAGTGGATTAGCGAGGACAGACAGTTTTGTTATTATCCGCCACGTTTCATGAAGGGGAAATGTATGAAGATGGTGATGAGTCTGGTGGATTATGATTCATCCACATGGGAACTGCTGCCCATTATATTTCATCATAGTTATTGTAAGTTTTTATCTTTTTTTTTACAGTGCAAGACTATATCTTCGTAATTTAATCTTGTCTTGTGGTTTTTGCATACAGCCACTTTCAATGTTGCCCGAAAAGCTAGAAATAAAGCTGTTAAAGAGGACACAATTGTTGCAACAGATGTTGAGACAGACTACAATCAACCACGCAAGAGAAAGCCGCCTGAACATCTAACATTTTCATCAGATTCTGAGTCAGTTGAAGAATCAAAAAAGAAGAAACTTAATATTCCAAAACACAATATTCCAAAACCTAGTTCAATTCTGTCTTCAAAGCTCAAGGAATTATTTGAGAGTAGCAAAGCCAAGAATTCAGCTAAGTCTACGAATGAATATTTTGCTAATTCAAATCTTTCATCTACATCATCAAAGAAAAATACAACTCTTGTTCGTCGATTATCGCAGGAAAAGTCTACACAATCTGGTTTGTATTTCTAATTACTGGAATTTTATTGCAGCATTTAATAGTAGTAGACTATCCTTATATGCTCTTGTACTTTTATTTTTCAGAATCTATTAATAAAGAAAACTTGTCTGACAATGAAATGTCATCAACTTTGAGATCTCCAAATTCTTCTTACAATTTTGATTTATCTGAAAAGGCTTCCACTTTTGAGCAATCTCCAGAATCTCAAGATATACTTACAAAATCTGATTACGATAGTGTGAGACAAATAAATAAAAAAAAAATTCTCGAAACAGATCTACATCATTAAAAAGGTTTTTAGAAGGTATTTTTATTGATTACCTTATTATTATGATAAAAAATAATTAATTAATTCTGAATTGAACATTTTATTATTGATAGGTTCACAGTCTTCACCAGAACTAGCTAGCAGTAAGTTATATTCTCTACTTTATTTTTATAATGAAAGAATAAAAATTGTTTTCATTGGCAAGTGATCATTTCTACATATACAATAATTTTATATTCTACATATACAATAATTTATCCTGTAAGCCTTAAATTTAATCCATTATATTCGATTATTCTTCTGACATTTAACTATATGATTAGTTTATTTTTTACAATTTACGGCTTTAGGTATTGACAGCCATAAATCAGGTTTAAGGTTTATTATACCTGTTATAGAATCGAACTTTTATAGTAATTTGTCAATAATATAAAAAAGTCATCATTGTCAATAACATTAGTAACTCTCATTATATTAATTAATAAATTTGAGTAAAAATAGTCGGTTCCAAAAACTATCACTTGCCAATGAAAACAATTTTTATTATTCGTAAAAGATTAATTATAATCACAGAATGTGTGAGAGAAATAATCGAATATGATTATACATATAATTAATTTCTTATGATTTAAAAGTCTGGAAGTTTCTACATATACAATATTATTATTATTGTATATGTAAAAACTTTCAGACTGTTCGTGGGACGCCACGTACTCAAGTAAAAAAGGATTTATTGGATGGTTTTATTTTGGCACAAAAAAATGAGTAAATTTACCGGGTTCGTAATCGCGGATTACTCGCTCGTTAACGTTCGGGTCTCTTGGACGACTGACTCGTCGGAGCGCTTAGGCATTTCACCCAAAAACGGGGCAAGCGTGCCTCGCAGGGAAGATCACGACGTGCTCACGCTTGAGAGTCGCATGGTATCACGCGCCCATCATGCCGAATAACAGTTCGGACGGACTCCGAACATTCCGCCCGCCTCCGTCGTCCTCGACGGAAGAAGTGGCCACTGGTCTGCTGAACTCAAGGTGTCTTCCCCTTGTCGTCCTCGGTGGGCAGCCTCACCAATTTGACCAGAAGCCTCGTGAGGGTGGAATCCGCGGTGCGGACCTGTGCAACTTTCACGCGACCGTCTGGTCCGGGGTGTAGCGCTAAAATCCGCGCCATCATCCAGCGCGACGGTGGGAGTCGCTCGTCCCGGACGACGACGAGCTCGCCGACTCGGGGAGCCTCGGTCTCCTTGGTCCATTTTCCTCTCGCCTGGAGGGTATGTAGGTAGTCTCGCGACCAACGAGACCACAGGTGCTCGGTCAACTGCTGGAGTAACTGCCATCTGGAGAGTCGTCTCTCGTTGACACCCTCCAGGCTCGGTTCCGGAACGCTGACCAGCGGCCTGCCGATCAGGAAATGTCCCGGAGTCAACGCGCTGAGGTCGTCCGGATCGTCCGATATGGCGTGTAGAGGCCTCGAATTGAGACACGCCTCGACTCGTGCCAAGAAGGTGCCAAGCTCCTCGAATGTTAGGGTGTGTTCCCCGACGACTCGGCGGAGGTGGTGTTTGACCGATTTGACCCCGGCTTCCCAGATCCCGCCAAAGTGGGGCGTCGCCGGCGGTTGAAATCGCCATTCCGTGCCGTCGTTCGCCAGTGCTTCCGCGATGGGGCCTCCTTCTGCACCAGCGGCCTTGAGGGCCGTCCGCAGTTCCCGATCGGCTCCAACGAATGTCGTGCCCTGATCACTGTATACGACGGCCGGTACGCCGCGTCTGGCGGCGAAGCGATGGAACGCCGCAAGGAAGGCCGAGGTCGAATAGTCGCTCACCAGCTCTAGGTGCATCGCGCGGGTCACAAAGCACACGAAAACCGCGATGTACCCCTTGCAACTGCGATGTCCTCGCCCCTTGGTCGTCCGCACGCCGATAGGACCAGCATAGTCGACCCCGCACGTGGAGAACGGGGGAGCCGGCGTCACCCTGGTCGCCGGCAAGGGCGCCATGAGAGGCTGGAACGGGGCGGCCCTATGCCGCACGCACGTAACACAGCGATGAAGAATGCCACGGACCAGGCTGCGACCCGCCGGTATCCAGAAGTTCCTCCGCAGGTTCGCCAAGGTCATCTGAACCCCGCCGTGGTAAACCCTCAGATGTGCGTTCCTCACCAAGAGTTCTGTAAGACGATCGAATCTCGGCAGTATAACTGGATGGTTCTCCTCCTGCAACTGACGTGAATGTCACTTGCCAATGAAAACAATTTTTATTATTCGTAAAAGATTAATTATAATCACAGAATGTGTGAGAGAAATAATCGAATATGATTATACATATAATTAATTTCTTATGATTTAAAAGTCTGGAAGTTTCTACATATACAATATTATTATTATTGTATATGTAAAAACTTTCAGACTTTTAAATCATAAGAAATTAATTATATGTATAATCATATTCGATTATTTCTCTCACACATTCTGTGATTATAATTAATCTCTTACGGATTAAATATTATATTTATTATAGATAATATAGATTTGACTAAAAACTGTCATTTGATTAATGTGGTTTTCTGACAGGTAAACCTCAAGATCAATTAATCCTGAATTACATGCAAGAATTGTCAACGAAGATAGATTGGCTGCACATTAAGATTTCTCAAACTTTGAACGAATTGTTCCCCAATAATGACGCTTTTGATCAGCCTGAAGGATTTCCCTCCTTGCCATTGGAAACTGAGGAATCTTTTGTAAACTTTGATGAACAATTAAATAATAAAGTATTATATGGTCAAATGGTGAGTATTTTAACTAAGGCACTATAAAAGAAGATATTCTCACGTCCGCCATTTTTTTTCCAACTAGGAGGAAATTAACCAATCACAAAATTATTTTTCTCTAAATTCAATTGTGATTAGTTAATTTCTTCCTAGTTGGAAAGAAAATGGCGGACGTGAGAATACCTTCTTTTATAGTGCCTTATTTTAATCACTGTTAATTCAAATATGTATATCTTTATTAAATATTTAAACTGGCTTTATGTTATAGCTCAATTACCTGTTACAAAAAGGAAAGGAAGAAACAACCTCTATTTACACTTATTCTATTTTGTCGACTCTACTTAGGAACAACGTAGCACGACTCATTAGTTGGAAAGGTTCTGGAGGAGTCAAGCTCAGTTTTCAAAAATCCAAAGTGAAAAATCTAATAGAAGGTGAATATCATCTTGTTTTTTAAAATTTATTTTCAAATTTATTAAATATATATATATATATATATATATATATTCAATTAATGAACAAATATATTATATTAGAAATATATATTTAAAGTTAAATTATTGTTTGCTGATTAGAATATTAAATTACTCCTGCTTTATTGTTTTTTTTTTAATTATAGGTGTTTGTTTCAAGAAGTTTCCTAAGGTGCAGGTTTCCGTATTTGAAGACCATATAAAACGATGGTTTAACACTTCTATGCAGCGATCAGACTAATTGGATCTTTTGATGGGGATTAATTGTATTCCGACTTTAACACATAAATTCTACTTTTTTTTATTTGTCACTTTTTGTCTTAGTTTAAATAAGGTAAATAAAGTTAATTTATTTTTATTTTTTAGTTCTATAAAATATATATATTTATCTTTGTTATGTCTTTAAAATTTTTATTCTTCAATTAAAAAAGATAGTATATTATTATATATAATATTTCTATAATAATATTAATTTTGTAAAGTTATAATATTTGTTATTTAAAAAAAAAGTAATATTTCTTTTAATTTATAGAAGAGCTTTTCTATATTTAATTTTTTTTAGTTAAAGACTTCTCTTTATAATATTAAATGTTTAGATGCAAAATATTTTTAAGTTAACAAAGACACTACAATAAAAAGTAATTTTAACTTATTTCTACATTGTTCTTTCTTTATCTTCTACTTGTGAAACTGCTTTAAAGGAGATTCACACCTAGACAGAAAGCAGAAAACAGCAAAGCATTAATAAGCTAATATATTATAACTCGCGCTGATAGTAAGTAGTAACCGAAGAATTTTTCTGTTGTATTATGTTTACTACCAGTCCGAGTTTTGATTGGCTAATGCTTTCCTGTTTTCTGCTTTTCTGCCTAGGTGTGAATTCTCCCTTATTCAATGCACTGAATATAAAAAACAGGTCAAAATAATGTCAAAATATAGTCACTTTTTTCCCTGTTTGACGTCATTGTGATTTTCGCCATTTAACTTCATTTTGACGTCATTTTGACATTATCGTGACTTTTTGTTCTCCTTGGGTTAAAATATCTTATTTTTGCTTTAAAATTTAATTACAGTAATTAAAATTTTATGTAAAAAATTAAATATTAATTTGTACTTAAATGAATTACATTTGGAATAAAATCTTAAATATTTTCATTATTAAGTTTGCTTGGAAACACAATGATAATAAGAAGAATTTGTATACCTGAACTCTTCGCTGTCTGAACTCAATTATTCAATATGAAGAAAAACTTGAATAAAATCGCTAAGACTGGACCACAAGGACTTTGCATGTGTGACATTCTCAATATGTACAGCAACTTGTTTGTTCTTCATATTTAAATTTTGCTTCCTAAAAAGATACAAAGATTAAATTATATAGCATTACTCAATAATGTAACGGAGTAATGTATTTTGCTACAAGTTCGAGGTTACTTGTAAACAGATGGCAAAATAATAATTAATTTAGGCATTTAATGCAAAAAAATGTAATGATATAATAGCCGATTAAACTTAATGTGTATTCGCATATCATCGTTGTATATTAATGTAGACAGAAAACATACACCATTGCATATCAAATTTTTGATCTGTCTACAGTAGTCTACATTAAGATGCAACGACGATATACAGATACACATTAAGTTGATTTTGTCATTATATATCATTACATCTTTTTTGCATAAAATGCTTAAATAAATTCTTAATTTGCCATGTTCTTACAATTAACCTCAAACTTGCAGAATATTTTGTGTCACACATATTATATTATAATAAAATGTTATAAAAATATTTTTCATAATGCTTTATATATTTTTAAAAAAAGAGTTTACATACAAAATAAAAGAGATTACCTTATTTAATCAAAATTACGCTTTCGTTCTCCTCGCCCGTCGTCCATGCGGTCGTCCGTCGCCCGTCGGCAGCAAAAATAATAGAGAATGTTCGGCTTGGAACCGCGGAATATACAAATACATTTAGAAAGCGTAATCCCGCGTAATTAAAATTATATAACACTAGTTCTTTAATTATAATAAAATAATATATACAGTATTATTATTTTTATAATTTAATTTAATATATATCTATTAAACATCTTTTAAAAATTTGTTTTAAGATGTCTTTAACATGTGATGTATAATAGATATCTTTTAAAATTACATTAAAGACATCTTTTAAAAGAAATTATTTAGATATCTTTAATATGTATATTACATAATATGTTAAAGATATCATTTAAAATGTCTTCTCAGATATTTAAAGGTATCTTTTAGAAATTCTACAAAGAAATCTTGAATAAAGTATTTTTAGACATCTTTTAGATATCTTCTGGATATCTTTTAGAAATATCTTGAATATTTCTTTAATGAGATATCTTTTAGATTTCTACAAGATTTCGATGTTTACTGGGTTGTTATTACTTCCTGAATAGGAGTAAATATTTCTTTTAAATGTGACTGAGATGATGATAAATGTGCGCTTACTGCTTTAACTATATTGGATTTATTATATAAAGTGTTCTTCACAATTGTAGGAAGCCTAGAAAATATCTTTGCATTCATATTAGTTGCATGTATTGTTGATTCTCTCTCTTCATCAGAAGATTCAGACGATGTTGTTTTATACTTTTGGTTTTGTCCTATTACTTTTTCCAATAATATTTTCATTGTCATCTGTCGCGATATCAGATGTCCATTCATATTTTTCCAACTTTTCTTTTGATTTTTCAAAATTGTCTGAAAATATAGAATAAGAAACCAAGAATTTTATAACCTAATTTTTAAACAGAATGTTATATTGATCTTACCAGTTGTAAAAAGAACTTTTTTATTTTATATATTTGCCACTTTTCTGTCGGTGTTTCTTTCTTTTTTAGTAATTTATTATAACTGTCCTGTGTTTTAACAGGTGGCTAAAGTACTTCTTGTTTTCGTGGTGTGAGCCACTGTGAGTGAACACTAGCCAAACTTCCATCATTTGCTTCTGTACAAAATTCTACTCCTACAAATGCCATCTATGTGTATCAACAATTATAAAGGCTGCATTATACAATATGTTAATTAAATTTTTTAAATGAATTATAAATATAGATATTGTAAAGCATTTACATTGCAATATAACCTCACATGTCTAATTCATGCGTATATCTGTGCAAAATAATACAAAAAGATATTTTTATCTTACCTTATTGATGTTGAAATGCACTTTAATAATGTACAAACTTAAACACAATTTAAACTTCTTACTTAAATTTACTAAAAAATAACTTAAAACACATAATACACATGTGGCTTCTGCCTGCACGAGATACGAAAACGCTTGCCTTACACATGTGCTCGCCGCGCGGCAAGAAGGGACGCGGTATAAGCGGGAAGCTTGCTACCTAGCAAGCTGACATCAAAATGACGTCAAAATGACGTCATTTTGATGTTTAATAACGTCAGCTTGCTACCTGGGACTCTTGCATAACGCATAACAAATATGCATAAGGAATTCAACCAATCGAATTTCTTATGCGTATGCGTTATGCGCTTATGCAAGAGTGTGTGCTTGGGCCTAATAGTAATAATAAAGCCAATAAACTTTGCTCAAAAAGCAATACGTTGATTGGCTATCGTGTGTTACTTCTTAATTGCCGCGTGGCACCAAGGTAGCAAAATTCGTCATTTTGACGTCAATTTAACATCAAATATACGTCAAAATAACTATAATTTAGTTTTTGGTTAATTGTCTTGTTAGCTGGGAAGGTCATCTATCGGACGGTGAAAGAAATTTTTTCTATAATTACTTTATGTCGATGAGGTCGGAAACTTTTCAAATGACCTTTGTATTTGAAAAAAATATATTCATAAATATTTATGAATTTTTATCATAAATATTGTGTGCTGTCTGGGTCATGTATAAAGTAATTTTACCGCGTGCACATATAAAGATATATTTTATTTATGTATAATAAATTCATAAAATACTTACTTCAATAAGTTGGTTTAAAGAATACATGCTATTAATAATAGCAGTTAATGTTGCAATTATGTTAATTTGTCTACAAAACAACAAATGTACAGATAAAGTTTGCATATATCATTAAGAATAGTACATATACATACATATATATATATATATATATATATATATTTATGTAGGGAATAATATTATTTTTTACCTAAGATTAATTCTTTCAAAGTTTTTTAATATATATGTTAGTACATCATTATTTGTTGCATGTTTTGCAATAATATTGAAGAAACTATTAATCAAATATATTTCAATTTGCCGATTTAGTTTACGCGAAGAAATACATGATGTGGGCTTAACATCATTGATTCGATCTAAATAGAAAATTATAATGATAGAGCTTTTAGTGCAGGGCAGAAATTTCCTAACGCAACTTTGTTTCAAAATTTATTAAATTTATCACGAATATGCGGAAATTATTAATAATAACCAGTCAATGTGATAAATTTATCACTTTAACCTTATAAGATTGAAGTTATTGGTTTGTATTAATAATGACCGGTAATCTATATATATAAGCACCATCCGTCTGTCTGTCTGTCTGTCTAACCGCGAACTACTTCCACATTTGTGGACTGATTTTCGTGAAACAGGTACCAAAATGTTGCAAATTTTTCGGGGATGGATATTATGTGGTTTTTTTTAAGTTTTACACTTTTACCCACGCACCCACCCACGCAGTTGCATATTTATGGACCGATTTTTTTCGAAATTGGTACTAAAATGTTGCAAATTTTTCGGGGAGTGTGACGATGTGGTTTTTTTAAGTTTCCACCCATCCACGCACCCACCCACGCATTCACAAATTTATTGATCGATGTTTTAGAAATTGATAGTAAAATTTTCTAATTTTTTAAGAATGGTGATGATATGGTTTTTTAATTTTTACACCCCTATTCACGCATCTACCCATGCATCACCTACGCACCCACCTACGCAATCGCGTAAATATTTATGGACTGATTTTTCGAAATTGGTACCAAAATTTTGCAAATATTTTAGGTAGTGTGACGATGTGGTTTTTTTCTTAAGTTTTCACCCACCTTCGCACCCACCCACGCATTCACAAATTTATTGATCAATGTTTTAGAAATTGATATTAAAATTTTTAAACCCACGCACCTATATATATATATATATATATATATATATATATATACCCATGCAATCACATTATTATGCGAATTTTTCTACGCATTCATACATTCACCGATTTTCTCGAAATCGGTCTCAGAGAGATCATCGTTAAGGGGGTTGTTTATTAACAATCGGCGCGATATTCAGCGATCAGCGGTGGGAACATCAGCAAAAAATA